ATTATTGTGAAGTGCGTGTACAGGCCGGTTTGTATCCCGGTCTAAGCAGTCACCTCGCGTAATCACGATATCCAATACCGATATTTGTTGTCAAGTGTTTTTGCAGTGTCGCTTTCAATGAGATTTCTTTAATCATTATTGATGCGGTATTAGACTTTGACAAGACAAATTTATCTTAACACGTAGATCGTGATTTGCGAAAAACATGACACCGCCTTTCGACTTATGATGGTAGAAATTCCCTGATGCCTTCTGTAGAGCTCTGTTAGATCGTGGTACATATATGTGTGATAGAAATATGGATGTCACAGTCACTAGTAAGTTGTATGACGTAGTTTAAGATTACGTCAGCTGATTGTTAAATACAACTAATGTTGCACACATACAGTCTTGCTAGAAATGTACCCTCAATACATAATAAAACAAAGTTATATAGTGTATTGTCTGCGTATATTAACGCGTTCAGCATGGTATATCTAATATATGTTGTTTATAATTAATTTAGTGCATTTGTAACACATATGCGGTATAGCATGTGCGGGTATGTGTATTTGTGTGTGTGTTGGGGGGGGTTCTAATATGGCTATTAGTATTTACAATACAATTTGTTTTGATGGGATTGATAAATTTTGATTGCTTAATATCTGTTAAAAATCACTGAGCCACAGGCCATTGGCATATTCTTTATTTCAAAATCATAACATTAATATATTGCTTTTATGGTGTTTTTTCATAAAAACATAAAAAAAGGCTTATTTTTAGCTCGTTAACTGATAATCAGATTGAGCCTGTAGGTTAATATCTCAGCGTTAATTATTATTATAATTTACGTTAAATACATGCAGTTCTAGTTAATTACATGTTTATAAATAATATTCTTTTGTATTTCAATGAGACTGAACTATCTAAGCTGTTATAAGTAACCCTTTCCAGTTAATTAATGTGAACTACCCTGGGATGATTTCCCTTTCCGATGTTTAGTTTTTTCCTATCATTTGTGGAAACCATATGCCGTTTACATTTGAAATATTGACCTGGTTACCTTGTACTAGCATTTATATCTAAGCATTATTGCGTTTACGCCCGACGTTGAAGCACAATCTCATTTTTATATTATAGCTTACTTACATATTTACATAAGTAAAACATACAGATTCAAACTTTGAATCGCTATTCACGTGTACATTGAGAGTTTAGATCGTCATGTCATGTGTAATAATAGCCAGGGAGATAATTGCGTTCGTAATGTTCTATGTAAAAATTACTTAGTTTTTAATAATTCTACAGTTAATTATAAATTAGTGCCTTGTCTACCAAAGAATATGGCTTCATACGAGTGCCGAGGTTAACTGTGAATACACTTTTAATCGATAACAGACTCCACACAGAACAGTATACACAAATTGTCATGGAATATGATACAGATTGATGTTTATTTTTTCTAATTAGCGGAGAAATACGAGATGCATTTCAAATCGTATTTCAAGAGACCTGACCCTATCCGGGAGCTTTAATCCGAACAGAATTAGCGTCCAAGGCACTGAAAAGGAGCATTAAATAGCTTGCACAATATACATACATTAAAGCAAACTCATTTTAATATCCGCAAAGACAGTTTCCGTGAAGCGAGACAGCTCTGGGTTCTCATTATTAATCATCCGCGAATTCATAAAAACCGTGCAATAGTTGGCGGGGCAGTGATTACGTATTTATAACTCGATGCACAGTGAAGAAACGAGTGGAGACGTGGTTACGTTATAAGCTGAAGGACACATACTTAATGAAATTTTTTTTTTTTTTGCCAATGCACTGATTTCTTATTTCCAACACTATATCGTGGATGGAAATCGCAGAACATCGATCACCGCCAGTAGACCGTAACACGATGAAGTGACGGTAATATATTCCAATGCGTCATTACTATCTTGAATTTCGTTTTATCTTTTAATCATCCAGACCTGAATAAGAAACTGCTGCTGGAAATGTGTAATGCGCACTTGTAGTCACAGCCTATTGGGAGTTGACTATTTGAATTCGAGATAGATTTGGAAACAAATCTGCATGGAAACAATGATTTAATATAAACTTACGGGGGAAATCATCCAACAAAAACCTGTGTACAAAAAGCGCACAAACATTTGTGTGTAAAAAACGAATCTGTTTGTCAACCCCTTAACTGTAACCGTCAACAGGGCCAAAAAAAGGATGTCTACGCTTAACTGCAATCCGCAATGCACAACCATTAACACAATTATATATTTAACAATGCGCAGTCCCTTGTTATTTCAGACTATGCTACTTTTCAGAATACTTTCACTTTGATTTTGCGATAGGGGATCGAATAGTAATTGAATGAATGAGTATTAGTTCTCAATTCTCCTGGCATTTTTAAGTGGTTTTATTGTACATAGGTCATGTCATTATATTAACTTGATTTTGATGGTGGTTGTTTGTGGGGGTGATATCCCAATTGGTACGGATTATAGTTAGATTCAAATCATATAGACGTTCAAATCAACATAATCAATCGATATTTTTTGCCAGGCTTAACTCAATAGCAGAATATACATTAGACGTAAATGACCACGAGACTTGTGACTGTCTCTCAAATAGTGTTTTATTCCCTTTCGACTATGCTCCACATTTTCTCTAAATACATTGGATACATGGGATAGGGAAACAGCCTGCGTGCACACGATGATGAAACCGAATAAAACACTATTGGAAGAATCACAAACAAGTCTCGTGGCCATCACGCTGTCTGCGATATTTCAGCGGCCATATTTGACGAAGTTTTTTTTTTTTTATCAATTTAAGAGCACACAAACGTGCAATAAATCACAGTTACGTTCATTTAATACGTCTATATTTTGTTTAATCGAGTTCCTTGATTAAAGGGCGACATTTAACGGATTGACATATCAGAACCATCTCTCAAATTAGTACATCATTAAATATTCACAATGGGAAGATTCCTTAAAGCCAATGTATTATGAACTCGACACAGAACTGCATATTTCTGTTGACTGTCTCGCTCACGGTTGTCTAGCAACTGGATAGCCCGTATATTGACATACGTTAAATGAACACAATACAATACATTTTTTTAAATCAGTGATACACAGCGGAGCATAAAGCCGAGAATTGAGATTGGGTGTTTCGAAGCGTGTGTGCGAAATTATATGCATTTCTCAAACACACGCTAGAACGCAAAGGCTCATGGGTAGACGCTTGTTTGTAAACATTGACACGCTATGGCCACCTGACGCATGTGCGGGTGACGACTACCCCGCTTTAAGCATTACATTCTGTGCATTCTAAGTTCCAATGTTCACAATTCCAAACAGGCTTACGCCTCGAGCCTCTAAACATACGGGTCGTATTAATTGCGGCGGGGTCGTTAGCTTATGCATTTATTATGCGTTAGTTTTAATTAGACGTACCTGTATTACCCTGACACAACAATCCATGGAACTAAGCACTCATATATCTTAATATATTATACGAGCTTTGATCGATCATATCTGTGTTAAATGCATATTGTACCTATTAAATACATTCCTTGTTATAACGCCATGTACTTTTGCCGGGTCAAACCATACAATATGTTATTACGTAGTGTTTATTTTATTATTTGTGTACCCCGTGTCCCATTTTTTAGTGTTCTTAGACTGTTTGATGGCATTTTTGAAAAGTTTTGAAAGCCATACTTAGCCGGATGACCACTTTGACGTTGTAAATACCATACCAAATGTATAAAATATTATTAATAATATTAATATTTTTAGTTTTTGGAGTTAGTACATTCTGAAAATCAGTTTAGGATTATAACTAATGGCAACTCAACGAATGTTATATTACTAACAACGTGTATCGTTGAATATTTGTAGCACTTATACACTGCTATCACATCGATATAAATATGTATGTCTTGCTGGGGGCTTTTTAATCGTTTCAGAATATCGTAATCAACTTAATACACAGTCATACGCTGCTATTCGATATTTCAAAGTTTGCCGTCGGTTAATGCGTGGGTCACGATCCCATCATATTGCGCACATCACGAAAATAAATGTGCAGAGTGCGCTGTACGTGAATCAGTACTACAGGGGATGGAGTACGGCAAATCCCCTTCACCTCACTCACCGAGCAATGGTTTCAAATTTGTGTGAAAACCTAATCTTCAATTGCCTCAAGTACTCCAACTCTACTGCTCAAACTTAATACTAGTACATCTGGTACGCCCGATGTCTACTGTTTAAATAATAAACAAGCGCTCTGTTTTCCAAAATGGTTCAATTATCAAAAAATACTGATGCGTGTTCTCAGTCGCGTAACACTACATGGCTCAGCTACCTGTGCGATCAACGATACGTGTGTAATTGTTCTCAATTTTATATATTTCGTATTCAATAGAGTGTTGGTTGGTGTACAGTAAACCAATCGTTGAAGACTTGGAATATACTAAAAGTGTATTTTTGCACACAATCGGATAAAAAGTGATTTTGAACTAAAAATATATTAGCAATTTGATTGAAATAAAATGATCATACTCTGATACGTTTTCTGAATTTATGAATACTATAGATGTCATCTTTGTGTATCAGCTTTTCCAGAAATAATGATTTAAAAATGCGAATGTGATCATTAAACTGCATACGTACAACGTCTAGAAAAAAAATGATCAAATAGTCTACTCACTAATTATATTAACCTGTCGTTAGACTCTGACGTATATATGTACGTGCTTGCTGTTATAACTGCGTTTATCGGCAAGTTTGAGTTTTGAGTTAAATACATTTACTAATTTTTCAATTATTATCTTTTTAGGTGTTGTGACTATGATCGAGGGATACACGGGTTATTATAAATCGTTATCTGGACGGTGATTTCTCTCAGGATTGGTTACTTTTCACTACTGCGAATTACTAGTGTGAGAGAGGTCATTTATATATTAGCGAACACAATCGGCTACCTATACGCTCTTTTTTTCAACTGACATGGAGTCGTCGACAGCTGTAGCCGTCGAAGTAGCGGTCCCAAATGACAGCGGCAGTGTATACAATGCTCTCGTCGCAAACACGGAATTATATGGAACGGCACTAACGACTGTATCATTAGATTCCGTTCTGTTCAAAGTATACTCGAACATGTCACCAGGCGCGAACGCTAACAACTTGACATGCGAGAACTGCACTGATACATTCCATCGGCCAGGATTTGACAACGCTGCACGGGTCCGTGTCATTTTATACGGAATATTCTTCGTAATTGCCGTGGCCGGTAACTTGACAATTTTCATTACAATGTTCCGGAATCGCAATCGACGAACTCGCGTGAAGACTTTCATCATGCACCTTGCTATCGCCGATTTGCTCGTAGCTATACTCGTAATGCCTACGGAGGCCATATGGCAGATCACGGTCAAGTGGTACGCTGGAGATGCCATGTGTAAACTTCTATCTTTCTTGAAAGTTTTCCCTTTATATTTATCGTCCAATATTCTAGTTAGTATGAGTTTGGATAGATACTGGGCGATCGTACATCCTTTGAGCGTATCTAATGCCGATAAAAGAGGGAAAGTTATGTTATGGATGTCTTGGGCAATCGCCGGACTCTGTAGTCTACCCCAGGTAAGCTGTTATTTTGTTACCAACGGACAAAACCCCAAGCACGCGAGACAATAAGCTGAGTGCCTTTAAAATAACGAGTAAACGCACGTGAGTCACATATGACCATTCACTTCTCAGATCGATTTCTGCGCAAGCGTTCTAATATAAAAGCGGTGTCTTTGTACATCGGCAGTACGAATTTGAAGCAATTACAAACTCGTCACTGATCAATAAATTTAAATGTCCTTAATAGCGAAACAATCGCATATATCCGTATCACTGTAATGTCCTTACGTTCCATGCTATGCATTTCAAAATAGGATTTTGATTACTCCTTATCCCAGTCCCTGTTCTTCAGATTATACGAATCATTTCGCGCCCGCGCTTGAGATCTTACTCTAGGCGGTGGAAAATTGGCGAGAATGTTTGATATGCTTTAGTGTCTATATTAAAAGTTCCTCATAACATTCTTTGCCACCGACGGAATAATTCACCTCTTCTGAGCTGCTGCTGCAGGTGACAATCTGAATATCAGTACGCCTTCATCAGCAGCATATATCGTCTTTCTAATCAACCGTATGATCTGCTACATGCCGATGAAGGTAACATTAAGCTTAGCGCCACTCTTGGTATTAAACTGCCTCTCGGATGCAATTTCATTTTAATTACTCGGGAAACACGGGATCAAGGTGTACAAAAAGGAGGAATTCGGTAATACCAATGCACCACAAAATAGACGACTACTGATAATAGAAATGTCTCAAGACGTTAAAACACTCCAGTGTAGTATATCATGCTACATAGTACATTGCCCTTGCTATATGCACCTAATGTTTGGTCGAGACACGGGAAAATCGACGCTTGAGAATTCCGCCATTAAGATAGCATTATGCAATAAGAGATATCATAAATAACAGTGAAGACTGCCAACAAAAATCTAAACTCAATCTTAGTATTATTTGAATCTGATATGATTTTCGCGGACATAAATGGTTGAATATTTCAAATGTATTTTCGGAAATGGCCGTATATTTATTGTACAAGCGCATTTATGTCTTGGATGCATAGTTCGCAATTAAATAAACTAGGAGACTCTAATAAATTAATTGTCGTTATGAAATATGATTGATTTGTTGGTCATAGTTTAATAATCAGAATGAGATAAGTTCTTTGCCGTTGGCATGAACACGACAGTATACGTCATATCTACGTATGCTATAAACTGGCGGTGCCGATCGATATGTTCTCCCATGGGAGTCGTTGTCAATGTGCGTGAATCGAATCAATTTCTTTGTAATATTTCATCACCTCGTTATAAAGACCATTGTCTAGTTGTAAACGATCGCACTAGTTCACGTTCTCTGCAAACAGTTTCGACATTACTGTAACGTATCGATCTCTGTGTAGATGACTTAGTATACCTTAACACACCTTGTCATATTCCACTAAGCCCTACTAGACCCTATCATATCTTACGATGACTTATCACACCCTACCAATATGTACTATATCCAATACCATACCCTGCCATGTCTAACCTTGACCTGCCATATCTCACTATGCCTTACCATACCCTGCCATATCTTACCATACCTTACTATGTCTTACCATACCATGCCATAGCTTAC